CTCCCAGAATTGCCCAGTTACAGCATGCTGGCTGGGGAATTCTGGGAGTTGAAGTCCACATATCTCCAAGCTGCCAAAGTTGAGAAACGACGCTGTGGGGGAAAAAAAGGCAGCCATTTCCACCCAATACCCCTTTCCTCCGTAGCTCCAAGTTTCTTATCTCCGGGTAACAGTGGGTACTGCTCCTGCCCCCAAAGTTTAAGCCCCAGGGAGTACTTGCGGGGAAGGGGAGCGAGAGGCGGCGGCGTTTCCCTGCAAAGTCTATTAACAAGAGCAGCTTAGAGTTCACAAACGGAAACGCTTTTTTTTTTTACGTCAGAAAGAAGAGCGCCGTTTTTTAAGAGCTCTCTCCCGAATTCTCCACGGAGGCGAGCGTTTGTGTCGCAGGTTCTCAGACCCTGACCCCGACCCTTCTCCCAAACCGGGACGTTGGAAATCGCCCGGGATCTAGCGGCCCGCCAAACGCTGTACCAAAAGGCGGAAGGCCTTGCCGAGAGGCCTCCACCTGATCCATCCCTCTAATAAGCAGAAAAGCCCCCTCCCCGCCGCCATCACATCACAGACCCGGAAAATCTCAAGCTGGTTCCTCGACAACATGACGCCTGGCGACGGAAAAAGAACCCGCCTCCGCTCTCCGATGGCCAATAGGAAGCCTGCTAATGCAAGCCGTCCAACCGAGACGAGAGGTTGATTCAACGTTAATTCGGGGACAGGCGACGTCATCTTTGCGCGCTGTATTTGGCCTGGGGAGGAAGAGGCCGTGATGCCGGAGTTGGAAACAGTGTTAGGGAAGCGGGAGCTTTTCTTCGTGAGTACGGCTGGAGAGAGGATGGGTCCTTGGGTCGGGAGGTTTGGCTTCGATCGATGTTTCGGTTGCGGAGCTCTTTCTCACCAAGGCAGCTATGAATCAGAACGGGGGGCTTGCTTCGAGCAAGTGCGAACTACGTTATTTTCCCAGTGGAATAAATACACTTGAACCGTGAGCAGGAAAAACAGCGTAGTTACAGTGGATCGGTTTTGCAGCATTGTGAATATACCAAGGGGAGCCCTTGCTCGTGGGGAAAAGTAACAGCTAATGCTTTTTAATTATCAACTCTGAATCGCAGACCCATCGTTGCGATGAAAGGGACGAAAGTTGCTCTGAAAAAGATCAGACGGGAATTCGTGGCTTACTGAAGCTACTGTCTG